AAAATCAAAAGAAAATTTTACTAGACAAATTTCACTTGGTTCAGTTTTTTTAAGTTCAGCAGTTCAGCAGACAGGAATCGAACATTTGCTGTCCAGGGGGCCATTCGCCTAACGGAAATGCTTTGGAAAACGCTAACGTTTTCGATTTTATTTTGTTACTAGCGGCCCGCCCTCGCTTCGCTACGGTGTAGAGCTGAAGTGTAGACTACAGTTTTTGTTCTCAGGTTTTTGATCTCTCTTCTGTATTATACACAATAACACTCATCTATGATTCTTCTTTATACCTGCATGCAAAGTCTCAGCCCGATCGGTTTAAAATTGACAAAGTTTCATACAAACTTTCATTCCCTATTTTATCCCCTTGGGGGGTAGAATTGATCAAAATCCTTTCTTAGCGGATGCCTACGTCATAACATCTACCTGCATGCCAATTTTCAGGACGATCCGTCCAGTGGTTTGGGCTGTGCGTTGATAGATCACTATGTCAGTCAGTCACCTTTGAGTTCTATATATATAGATTTCTAACCGCCGAAGGTTTTTAAATATCTCACGCTATTTCATTTTTAATATTGTTACCTATTACCAATGCAAAAGAAAAAAAAGAGCGCGAAGCATTCGAAAACCTCAGGCGGCTAGAAATAACAAAATTAATTGTAAGTGTTAGCGTTTTCCAAAGCATTTCCGTTAGTCAAATGGCCCCCAGGCTGAAGATTTTTAGTCACTGTAGGCGCAAGGTACTTTATGATATTGACATTCCAGTTAAATACCTGAGTCACGTTGTAAACAATAGGTTAGTAAGGAATAGGAAGAAAGTGTGGTTATTGGCTATGAAATCACCTGAGCGGTCTGGGTATTTCCGTAAACTAATAACATTGTATCCTTGTATATTTTTACATATATTTTTAAAACCATTGTTGACGTCATATATTCCCCGTTAAGTGAAGCAATGGTATTGAATAACAAAAAACAAACGGTTTTTTTGTAGATAGGTCCGACAAATCACTCCACCCCACCAGTACCCTTAGTACGAGTTTTACAATTACGAAAACTATGATAGTTTTCGTGAGCTCGCACTCGTTGATTTTATTGTTTTGGTTTCAATACGAATAAACACTGTTTAAATTCTATCATTAAATAATTTGTGTCTTCTTAATTTTACGTATATTTGGACACTTTTCACCAAATTGGACCTAGAAACATAATTTACAAGAACATAGAAACGAAAACTATGGTAGTTTTCGTGAGCTCAAACTCGTACTAAGGGTATTGATGTTAAGCGAAGGTGAAGTCCAGACGCGAAGAACGCTGATACAGCAGTTCTACCTGCCACACCAGCCATCCTTACCCTGCCGGCCTGCATGTTGCTTCTTCACGCCTCTGTTAAAGGATCCCAGGTTGTAAGGGGGAGGGAACACGTGAGCGAGCAGAGCATTCCATTTACGGATAGTGCGACAAAGAAATGAGACACCAAATTTCTTTGTACGGTTATGGAATTGTGGCCACAGTTAGACGGTGACAACGTAGGCCAGCGCGCGTGGTCCTCTGAAGGAAAGGGGAAGTTGGAATAAGAGAGAATAAGTCCTCAGAACACTCGCATTTTAAACTAGCGAGCCACCTGGCTTGGCCCGGGAAATCTAAACAAAAGTAAAGAAGCGTCTACGTTTTAGAACGAAAACACCATCCCGGTTTCTGAATGTTATTGTGGTTTCTAGTGAATTTTCCAAAATGTTGCTTTCATACAAACTCTGTTCTGACTAAATGAAACAACAAAAATAATATAAAGATAGTTTGAATCTAAAGAAAATATAGATAGAAAAAATTCCACGCGGACCAGGCAGCAGACGAGAGTCGAACCCGCACCCTTCGCAATCCGGGCGAATGCACTGACCAATTATGCTACCGCGGCCCTCACAGACCGCGTCGAAATTCTTCTAGCCATTCTTAAGCTGCAAGGCAGCGCCATCTCTTCGCATTATAGGTAACCCACAATGTCAAATGAATACTTTTACAAGTATTAAACATTTGAAAGAAGAAATAGCAATTATAGTTATAATTTTTATTATTTTAAAGCATGTAACTGGTCCGCGTGGATTCTTTTCTAGTTATATTTTCTTTACACATCAAGCAATTACATGCTTTAAAATGATAAAAATTATAAAGATAGTTTAATTTTACACAATACGGATTTGCTCGTCTTTCGGAAGTTATGCAGCTACAACAATAATCAGTACAATGTCATTGCTCTGGGTATGGCAGAATACCAGTGCAGCAGGAATTCATCATCATCATCATCATTATCATCAGCCTATTAATGTCCCCACTACTGGGGCACAGGCCTTCCCTATGGATGGAATGGGGAGATTGGGCCATGACCCACCACGTGGGCCCAGTGCGGATTGGTGGGTGCTAACGACTGCAGATGCAGCCGGGACCAATGGCTTAACGTGCCTTCCGAAGTACGGAGGAGCTCGAGATAGTAATTTTTGGTCACCCATCCAATGACCGACCACTGCGAAAGTCGCGTAAGTTCAACGATCGCAGCCAAACGCGCTAACCTCTTGCGCCATCGAGCTCCTCATGAATCGCTCGCCAGCAGGAATTAACTGCTGTGTATAGGGACACGATATCGAATAGAAAGTATCGATACTGTACTCATGAGTAGTATCGGTAAAAAAGTATCGTACTCGTAAAAGTATCGATACTTCAAAGAATCGAGTACATTTCATAGGGCCTTATCGGAGCCTCTGTGACCTGATGAGCAACCCCCCCCCCCCCCCCCAGGTGTTAAAATTGAAAGAAAAACAATCAAATTTTTATAGTACGTATAATCAAAAACAAAAAAGGACAACCGTTACTGACTGATCTCAACACAGAGCTCAAAGTACTGGACAGATTACGGTAAAATTTGACACTTGGACGCCCTCAATTATATTGACGTACACTCGAGGAAAGACCCGCTCTGTCACCGATAATACCATAATCGCTTGTGGTAGCGGCGTAATAAAAATTCATTCGTAGACATGTAATTATCGCTGTCTTACTTTTTCGTATAGCGCTGTGGCGATCACTATGCGGATGACAAATTGCAACTAAAACAAATGCAATTCAATTCATTATTCAATCAATGAAATGCTCTACTTTTGTGCGGCGGCCCGGATTGGCGAGTCCGACGCGAAGGCGGGGCGTAGTAAAAACTACTGTAGAAAACCGTTCAAAGCATTTTGTTCGCCAAGTGACAGAGCGCAAAATTCCGCGATAGTACCAAGGCTGGAAAAGATTTTCCAAAATTTACCCCCACTGTTCACTTTTGAAGATATCTAAGGATAATGTTTAATCTTACAGTTTATCATAACGAATTCATTCAAACTCGGGGTGAGTTTGCGTGATTCAACCCTTATGCGTGAAAATTACTTCGTCGTGCCGATTGCATCCACATTCGTTAGCACCCATCAATAATATGTACTGGGCTATGGTGGTCATAGTCATGTCTTGTTCGCTCTTTTGAAGGACTGTGCTCTAGCAGGGGGGGGGGGAAAGAATAGGCTGCTGATAGTGATTGCTTTAATAGAACTCACTGATGGAATCAGTTAGACTTGTTGATAACAAATCGAAAGAAAAAAATACTAGAAAAATTCCACGCGGATCAGGACCCGAATTCGTCGTACCTTTCGCTATCCAGGCGAATGCACTGACCATTATGCTACCGCGGCCCTGGTGGCCGTGTCGAATGTTCTCTAGCATTTCTTAGGCTGCAAGGCAGCGCCATCTCTTCTCATTTTAGGTAGCACACAATGTCAAATGAATACCTTTACAAGGATGAAACATTTGAAAGAAGAAATAGCAATTAGTATTTTTTTAAGCATTTAACTGCTAGATGTTGTTGATAACAATATAAATCAATGATAGAGTCAATAAATCGATATTCTCCTCACGTTTTTGCCCTTATAAACGATTCGATTGTATCGAGTCTGCATCTACGACGAATATCAAATGGCATTGACAATTATGTCTCTTTGCGAGTGGGATACTTATTTATTTATTATTATCGATTAAAAACATTAGAGGAAAAGAAAATTAGCAACAACTTGACCATTTCCGTTTCGAGTACATGCAAACCAGAAAAAAGTGATGTCGCTTCGTAAGTAATAAAAATATCGACAGTTAAAATTGAGCCATTGGAATGTTTTAACAGTATAAGATTTCATTCTGTTATGCTTTTTAGTAGGTAAGTATAAATGTGGGCGGAATGGTGCCCCCAAAAAATAAAGCTAAAAACACTTAAACAGTATTTTACTATTCTTGCTTACTATTCTTATGTGCTCTGTTTACAAACGAACTATGTATATACTTTTATAGTTTGTGACTTTTAGTCGATGATATCGAACCACAGAACACCTTTCTGTGTTCTGTGGTTCCGAACAAACTTCGATTGTATAAAAGTATTGGAACTCAATATTTAACAGCCACTGATGATTTTCAATACTTTATATTCAATTTATATTAAAAACTGTGAGGCCCAATAAAACAAGATTACAGTATAAATAATGTTTAGTTTAATTTTAGGAATAAATATTACATTTTAGTCTTCATAAGACAACGTTATCACATTTCGTAACTATTTCACATTTTCATTCACAATCCTTTTTTTTTAATATTAAATGAAGCATTCTTTTTTCATTCAAAATAAATGTGCGAAATCATGGCACGACTCTATTAAAATTTCAATGGTCACGAAAAACACAGTAAATGTTCCTCAAAAATACAACTGATAACTTAATCTATGTGAACTTTAGATTACCTGTATTATTTTTGAGGAACATTTAAATCTTTTCCGTTATATCTATAACGGCGCTGTGTTTTCTTATTAAGTTGTTGATGTTGTTAACGTCTATATAACTCATATTTCATAGCGAGAAGAGACCCCCTTCTCCTGCGTATAATTTGTAACTCCTTTGTTAAAGCGCCATCTATTGTTGTTAAATGACATCATTCCATAATCATCAATTGCGAGGATGAGGCTGGTGAACTTGGAAGTTGATGCCGAGTGCTGTAGGATCCACTCCTGCGATGGCTGTGGCTATTGGTCGCGCTAAAGCAATCCCAGAAGATGCTACTGCAGTGGCCACGGGCCGAGAAGCAGCTAACCCATTCTCACCTATTACTGCTAAGCCTGGAGAGAAAGAGAAAAATGAAATTCTTGATTTTGCTGGATTGAAAAAGGGTTTTATATAACTTAAATAGGTATGAAATCAGGGTAGAAACCGCACTACTGATATGGTGGACGATATGCTTGTGGACGCGCAGAGGTTTTTTTAATCAGGTAAGTAACCTTTCTTGTAATCATCCAATCCCTTTTTTGTAGTGGTTTTGTTTTTATGAATTTGGTTTTAATTTCTGTTACAAAATGTTTTTATTCACTCCTTTTTAAGCCCGAGCAATATCAACTTCCTAAGTACTAGTACAGTACCAAAATCGAATTCGTATCGTTTGCGAGTCCGAAATGTCATTGTCAAATGTGTACTGATTTTTAGTTCTCGTTACGTACTTGGTGCCGCTGCTGTTCAAGTTTCCATACAAAATTTGACATTGACATTTCGGTTTGCAAACTAGGCTGTAATGCTAGGGATACAGTAGTGTAGTAGTAAATAATCGAACACGAATTGGTACTGTTTGTAACTGAGGAATCCATTATTTTCTCTGAAAGTCCTGAACAGATTCCCACCAAATTAATTCGATTCAAACAAAAACTGATTCAAACAAAGAAAGAATCATCGTAATCAGTCCACACATTTTAGAGAGATGCGCGAACAACAATAATAAATTAGGTAATGACGAATTTAGAACCTTCTTTTTGAAGTCGGTTAAAAACGAACATTAAGTAAAACACTGATGTCGATTCTGGCATGATTTACTAAAGCTAAACTTAAATTTGACAACAGTGCATCCCTGTCATTCTCTATAAAGAATGAAAAGGAGAGACTGATGTTAAATTTAGTAGAGAATTACGACAGAATCGGCACCATTGTATTTCTAAGTCAATAATTCCTTAGTACCAGACCGTTTTTTAAAGAAAAATATTTTTGGTTGTTTGTGTGAAAGTGGACACGGTTTTGCCGAAAAGTTTTTTACTAATTATAATCGTGATTTGTCTGTTTTTGAGTACTATTGAACAAATCCACATGCTTTCCGTATCCGTTGCAGGGTGGGGATGGGGTCCATACAAAATCATCCATGGTCTTTTAGGTACTTTCTATGAAATAACTTTTTTTTTATTATAAATGATAAAACAATGAATCATTGTTTATTATTATTAGTTTTACTTTACGTCAGGACTAAATTCACCTTTGAAATATTTAATCATTATATTTTACTTACCAACAGGCTTCGCTTCAGCAATTGTGGCACCTTCGAGAGGCAGCTGAGGATCATTATCATTTGGAGCGTCAATACTGACACCCTCTTCTTCTATCTGAAATTCGTTAGAACAACATAAGTTTGACCTCTTCTAACCTAATGATTTATACTTTTCTATAGAATGCATTGTAGTCATATTATTTTGGATATCAAATTAATGTGTCGCTATTAGAAAAAATCTAATTCGAAGTCTACCTATATTTTCTATTTTCTCAGAACGGTGGATCATAATACCTGAAAAGAAGTCCTGTGCTCCAGTAGTACAGACACTAATAAGCTGCTGATGACAGAAATATTTAACAGATGTGTTTTTTTTTGAGTTGCCGCTAGAGAATATATCTATTTTGAGTAAGATTCAGGTTCATCTACCACCCATCCGGTGTTAATATACCAGTACAGTTTAATTGCATTCAGGTAATGCCATAAGATTACATTAACTTGTATTTGATAATGGTAACGGCTAAATGAACTACGTTTGCAAAAAAAGTCTTTGCGTCTAATAACGACTTGTGAATAGTCAGTATCGAATGACTATAAGTTTTGATATTATCTCTTAAAACATGATGTTGTTCAAAATTTATATTCATTCGTACAGAGTTCGTTTCCGTTGTTTATGGATTATTTAAGTAAAATATCAGACAATACTTACATATTCATCATTTTCATATTTCTTTCCTGTTGCATTGATTTTGAACAGCATATCAATATCTGTCCCAATATCATCAATTATTTTGATTGTATTCGAAGCGGTTTCTTCTAAAGCTGACAGTTGTTCTCTAAACTTGACTTTATCATCATTATTTAAGAAGCCAAGTGTTCTGCCTAGGTTATGTAGTTTCAAAACACTAGTAGACGTTGACCTAAGACGAACTAAGTTTGCAGCAAGCACTTTTGAAAGCAGGTTTTCGTTACTGTTCTTGAATACATTTTCACTGCTAATTTTGTCCTCTGGGACGATTTTTTCACTTGTTACAGTGCCTGCGTTATCTTTCTTAACTTCTAAGTAATTGCCTTTTCCACCACCATAAAACGGTAGATATTGAACGTTTGCTCTGTAAGGACATAAAAATAATGTTAACAATAATATATACTTTAGATATTTCTTAAACTTTAAGGAAGCGATTTCAAAAATTTAAACCTACGCATCTTATTTTGAACTTAAAAACAGTAATGTTAAAAAAGCTATTTTTAATACCATATTTTCTTTACAACATTCTGCTTTAGTAAAATAGAGTATGGTTGATATAAAGAGTTTCATACTTTTATTGCACAGTATGTACTAACAACCAATTTGATTCGTGACCCACCATAAGCCTATTTTCTTACAACCATTGCAAAACGCGTGAGCTGCACCAAGTTTCTTTAACTTTATCTGTTCAGTTACAATACTGATTAGTTAAAAAAATGGGTTGCACCATTTGACGATAATCATAATGAGGTCAATATTTGACCGTGACAATTAAACTGTTAAACCGAGACCAGATAAAGTTATTGTAAACTTTAACTTTATTTCTGTGGTGCAACTCACACTAAGGCAGACTTTTGCATAAATGGATCCCTGGAAACAAACTTGTTTTTTCCAAAACAATCATAATTGACGGCTCAGTTTTTACCGTCTCCCTGTGACGTAATGTTGAGGTAACATTCTGTGTAGTTTTGCTCATAGACTTAGAATTACCCAAAGGTTTTCAAGAAATCGAACAGAAATAGTAATATTTACGATTTGAAAGTTATTTCAAAATTCAAACAAAAAATCCGCTATACTAAGTCGGGCACTCGTAATTTTGACAAGAATGTGCCTGCCGCCCGCACCTCTCACGGTACCCGTTTTCGTCCCCTTTACCCCGCAGGCGAGGTCTCAGTTAAGAGGTCTACCCATAAAAGATGATTTACTCCATTTAAAACAAAGGTTGAATTTCATATATGGCTGTTTTGACATTTTTAAGCGAAATACTAGGCAAGTGGACCAGGAGCAATTTGTTCGATAGTACATGGCTCTGTTATTTTTCATTCACTTTTTAATAAAAAGCACAATTAGTATTTTATTTGGTTTTTGTCTTAATTTTTCAGGTAGTTCTTGGGCTTATAAGTAATTATAATATCGTACTTTAATAAACATTTTCACTGATTTTATTTTTCTCATCTTATTCAGTAATATTAAATTATATTCGTGTATCAGGTATAGTAGTAAAAAAAAAATCCCAACTTCTCTAGGTATCAGGATATATTACTTTAATATACATGCATGTTTAACCTTATCAGCATATCTCTCGCATGGCAGAGCCCCGTAATCAGACCAACATAAACTCATATTTTTAGATTAATATATGAAATCATGGTATTCATAGATGGCATTAAAAAGCATATTTACTTATATAATTGAAAATTCATTAATTTGTACTTCGTTTGAGATGGCTAAAAATATATTAGCTGGAATGATAAGAAATGAAACAAGCAATAACATAACAACTAATATAATAATTTAATTTCGTATTATAATAAATTAAAACAATAAATAATAATTATATTTCTTTTGGAAAATACTTTCAAGTTAAATTTCGAATTTACTTTCCAAAACACAATTTACCTAACAAATTTTGACTACAATTAAACATAAATAGGAAGATCTTTAAATAAATAATATTTCATATAAATCAGACTATTCAATTTGATAATAAGCTCTTATAAAATGATATTGGCAATGAACATGATTGATATTGAAATGGAAAAACAATGCTAAGTCTAATAAGAATAATATTCATACAAATAAAGATCAGATTGGGCATGCGCTATGCCTCCTGGTCCAACGATGGCTGATGCTACTGGAGAATGAACAATAGAGCCGAGATCATTTCGGGAGACTACCACGTTTGATATAGGATTCGCTACTGCTACTCCACGATGGCTATTCGCTGCATGCGCCGTCGGCTTTAGAAACAGGACAAAGGAATCTTTCGCCATCCAAGGCCCTTTTACGAAGCTCGAACCGTTGTATTGATATTCGTCTGACCTCCTGCTGAACCCAGAGCTCTTTCCTCCGTAATCTCGTAGGGAGTCTCCCCATCGCCCTCGGTGGAATCTAACAATCAAGAAAGAATAAATGTAAAAAGACTGCAAGGAGTTACAAAAAATTAAAAGATGTTAAAGTTTGTCACGTTTGCTCAGTAGGATGGTAATATATAATTGGGCCAGTTGCAACTACTTTTCCTTCGGGAATTGCTTCTAATAATCGTGGTACAGAACCATCAGTTGCTGATTGTTCCTGAAGACGAGAGACGACAGATGACAGGTCAGCGTCTGGCGACAAGGCGATGATCCGTGCGGATGGCCCTGCTACTGCAAGGCCTCCAGGTTGTGTGTACGCAAGGCCTCCTGGTCCAACGATAGCCGTCCCACCTCTACCAGCAGTCGCCACACCTCCTGGGCCAGCAATGGCTACTCCACCTCTTCTTACTTTGAGCCGATTTATAAAAAAACCAGGACTAGGTGCAACTGGTTTTTTGTTTCCAAACCAGGAGAAATCTCCAAACGGTAAACGTAAATCGCCTTCATCAGAGTTGACAGTTTTGATATCTTGTGGTTCTTCCTCTGAGTACATACTCGTAGATGGCTTTGAAGGTTTTTTCGTAGTCGGTTTATTGGAAAAGAATTTTTTTACTTTGTTCAAATTTTCAAGATTGTTTTCTATTGATGATTTTGAAGAGATTGTACGTTTTTTTACTGCCCTTGCTTGTCTTGAACTGCGCGCGTTATCTTCTTTAGTTTTTAAAATACCAAAAAGAGAGTTTACATTGACATCCTCATTTTCATTCGCCTTTTGTTTTCTGTTGCATACGTCCGCATTCTGTCCATAATCAATAAGATTATTCCAACTACCACCGCCCATAAAATTAAGCAGAGGATCTCTAATTAAAATTGGAAAGAATGGTGCTAGTGGCCACGGAAGTCCAAAAGGTAGTGAAGGTGTTTGCCGCGTTAGATAAGCGTTACTTGCATCTTGAGTATTAACATCAGCATTAAACATATTATTATTATTGTTGGGCATGGGCATAACAATAACAGGTATGTTGGTAATATAAGGCAATTGCGCCATTGGGAGTTGTCTTTGACCAAACCCGAACGGCATATTTCTAGAATTGCGTGGTCTACCTAAGTCTTCGTTGCTTATAGTATTACTTTCTTGATATTTGTGAGTAAGTGACAGTGGATTTAATTTTCCTGCCGTGATTATTTGCTGAATTTTTTCTAATATATCCTTATCGATAACATATCCTCCTCCGGTCTGCGGTTGCGTGTTATAATTTATAGGTGGACGCTTAACTGGAGTTTTGAGACCCTCGTTAACTGCCATAATTTTTTCTATGATATCTCTTGTATTACTATTTCCTACGTCGACTCCTGGTTCATCCTCATATATCAGAGATCTTTCTTCCTTGTTACTAATTTCAGCAGAGTCTTCATTTTCAATAGTTAGAGGTGTTGTTGCCCTGAAATTAACAAAAACATTTTATTGTCATGTACACATAACATAAAGTCATTACCATAACCAAGCGAATTATTAATTTAGCGTGTAATATTTATAAAATAAAGTGGTAAGCGGTGTATTAAAAGCTTGAGTCAACAATATGAATTGAAGTACATCATACCTGAACCAAAGGATCCCAAAATGGCGGGTTGCTTGAGCACGTTATTGATTTTGTAACCAAGCCAAACGTTTCCATGTTAGTTGGTGCTTTTAAGGATTGTGCATTAAAAATCATAAAAAATATATTTCTATAATATATAACAAAATATAAATTGTAAAGCAAGGCCGGTGAATTAGGTAGGCTCTAGTAATTTTCAATATATATTTTAAAAGATATTGACACCGCGTATGGGGAATAAGGCCTTCTTTTATTCTTTCAAATTAGAAAAGGTATTATTAATTGATGGTTTTTGGTAATATTGGATTACTTTTATAAATAAAATACTTTGTAATAGAGAGTTAAACTTACTCATTGTTTGAAGGCTTGGACGATACTCCGACTAGAAGAACTGCTGCCAGAACCTGAAATTAAAGAAACAATGCTCGTCAACAAGTGCTAATCTTAAAAATAAGACAGAAGTTTCTTTCAAATGATTATTATTTTCCAAGTTGGACTGAAAGGGAAAGACAACTTTTACATGCGGAAGTAAGGTTCTTGATTTTTTGTAATTAAAACAAAAGTCTTGGAATCGTTTAGTTGATAATGCAGCCCATTACATATTCAGAGGCGAAATCTAAATAGCTGTAAGGGTCTTTTTTCGTAAATATAAAATACTTGCTCTACCAAGTCTTTAAAAACCACTGTGCGATGGCAAGTTCCATTAATATCTATAGATCTGAATCTCTGTGTGTACGTCTATTAACATAAAGTACTGTTTATCAAAATAGTAAAATGGTATTATCCGATTTTGTATGAAAAATCTAACATTAAAAATGAATATGGAATATTACAATTTTGCCATTACGACTAATATTACAATATGCTTTAAAACATTTAAAGAAGTGGCTTTTATGTAAAAAAAAATATTAATAAAATTTTTTTTTTAGATTTATTCATAGACTAGACGTTAAATACTTAAAAAATACAAATATAAATGGTTTTAAATTCATTAATTTAAAACAAACTGATATTTCAGAGAAGTAGAAACAATATTTTACTATAAACTGCACATTAGAATAAATCAAAGATATTGATAATGAACTTGTATCACAAAACAATGCCTTTGGGTTTGTTGGAAATTAATATGATACTTATTAGGTATTTCGCATACTTATTAACATATATTCTTCGTTCAATATCTGACCAGCTAACGCTATAACATTTTTCGTAGTGAAAATTATTTTTAGAGTCGGTTGCAATATCAGCGCTGACATAGTGAGAAAGTACTTTCTCATTGTGTCAGCATAAGCTGAGGCAGGGTCCTGATTGGCTATCTTAGGTTTTTTATGTTCTTTTTTATTTTTTGTTTTCTTAGGTTAAGTTTTCTTGTATTTAATTTTTTGTTTTATTTTTTTGTTTTTTATTGTTGTATTGATAAGTTTTTCTTTTGTTAAGATGGCCAATAAAAGATTTCATTTCATTTCAATAAAAACTAACTAACCTACACTAATATTATTTTAATTCTTTGTACAGTTGGGTACGGTACCAATAATGGTTCCCGACTGCTAAAGTACCTTAGTTCCCAACTTAATATAATTATAGACGACTTGTTTTTTTTCTTTATAAGTTTTATGGGAAGGATGTGGTAGGTAGATCCACTTAAGTTATGACGTCTGGTTTGCAAGAACCCGTTTGTTCGTGGTTATGATAAATTTAAACAGACATTTAATCTACAAGTAAACTGAACTGAACACGAGAACATATCTCGTGTGATGAACTAATTGTAGGTTAAGTTTCAATAATTAACCTCTAGTAAAAGGTTACGATAATCAGATTCCCGGTATTTAGCATTATTATAGTTGTAGTTATAGTCTGAATAACAAAAAATATTGACAACAAAGCTAAAAGTGGCCCTAATAAGGCCACCTCGAACTGGAGTTTGATGAAATTGGCCATAAATAAATACATTTCGGATTAGTTAATCTACGAGCTATGAAGTAACATAGAGAAGATATCTTTATAGAGTCACAAAATGATTATAACATTTTTTGTTACATTCATCATTAAAGAAGAGTAGGTTCTCGTACTTTAGAATATGTACAAAATTTCATCTCAAAATGGGACAAATTTAGATGTTAGAAGAACCATCAATAAAACATACATACACATTTTGACCCGGATGGGCTACGCAAAAAATACCACAGTATTTTTTTTTCAAATGTGGTTGTCTTCAAAAGTTTTGTTTCATCAGTCCCTATGATCAAAATTCGTACGATCTTGGTTTTAATTAGGACGACGACTTAATACATTTCCACATTTTACGGACACATCTATCATTTCAGTTTTGACAGTTCCTAGCTAAAAATAAGCAATGTTAAATGAAGCAGTTTTGAAGCTGATCTATAGCTTATCATTACTGTTGAGAACTGCAGAAAGTTCAATTGTGGAGCGAGCACCTAAGGCTGCATTAACAGGCTCCTATCAAATTTGGCTAGGAAGGACGGGCAACTCGAGCAGTGAAGGTGAGCGTTGATACGCAATTCAAAGGGAGCGGGCCTCTATAAACCTACACCTGGGTCGCAAGTCCCGGGAACTGCTCAGAGTTTCCTTCTTTGCCTCACGAAGGACCTGGCACCCGCATGGTCAATCCATAGATCCATCAATCCATCCAATACGACGACCTCCGTGGCCGAGTGGTTTGTATGCCGGGTTTCATGGTGTCGCCGACTCGAGAGGTCCAGGGTTCAAATCCCGGTGGGGGCAGATGTTTGTGTGATAAATACAAGCATTTGTTCTCCAGTCATGGATGTTTAATATGTATTTTCTATAAAAATATACTCATATAAGTACAGTATATGTATTCTATCCGTTACCCTAGTATCCCATAACACAAGCCTTATAGTGCTTACTTTGGGGCTAGGCTAATTGGTGTGAGTGTTGGAAATATTTATTATTATTTATTTATTATAGATCGCAAAGAAGTTCGTCTCCCCCCTCCATATTTTTCGTGTTTTTTGAAGTGAAAACTTCTTAAGCGGCGTTGTAGTCTTTTTTTTGTACGGGTAAAAAATGTTAAACTCGCGTCAGGTTAAATACGTGGGCTGATCGCATCATAACACAATAAAATTGGAAAGGTTGACTTTCAATGTATTGGACGAAACATTAATTTTACCGTATTATAATAATAAGTCTCTATTCTAGGACGTCCACGTGGCAGCTTTATTGCGAAGAAAATGCATTTTTTACAATAGATGTCGCTAAAACGTGATTCATGTAAGTTGATTTTTCTGAAAGATAAACTTTTTTAATGTAATATAAATTGTCATGTTTGTGTACGATAGCGCAATAAATAAATATTGTATTCTACCACATACATGATAGTACTTTCATACTGATAGTTAAAGCAATTCGTGCAAAAGTATTCCCTAACCATTCCAAAATATCAAAAATGCACAACGTTAATATTCAAGTTTTCGCTTCTGCCGGCACTCCCGGAGTGCAACCCGTCGTTTTCTTTTAAACATATTATTATTGCTACAAACTGTTGAAACTTATTACAATAATAAGACATATAAATGTGTCCGGAAGTACTTACCGATCGACATAACAAACATGAGGGTTTTTAACAATATAATAATAAAGTACTTCTTTTCTTTGTTTGTCGTAAAATATCAAGTATTAAATTATTAATAGCTTCAACTGCAATCCAGTCTTATATTTTTAATACAATTTCTTATCAAAGCAGGTACTATATTATAATTATGCAAAGTATCCTTCTGAGAACCCTTAATTTATAAAGAATCGATTTCATTTATCCGGTTAAACATAACATGAAATTGACCTTCATCTAGAACTTGTTCCCACGTTCATTTAAATTGTAATATAAATAAACTGCTTTTAACTTCTGTTAAGTTAAGAAAATAAAACCATAAAGTTACATGCAAATAATGGGTAATTAATTCGACATTTAAATCCCCTGTTGGGAGCGTAACTAAAATTATATTATGAGCTACTAGTTTTTCTGTGCGGCTGATAAGTTCTTTTGGTTCTGTTCTTTCATGGATTTTACCATTTTTATATAATAATAATTTATAATAATTTTACATATAATCGTAATTATATTATTCTTTCTCTCTTTCTCTCTTTCTCTATTCTGATTTTATTTCGGCACTGTTGTAAGCGCCATGATCAGTGTCGTTCCGCGATCTGATACTGTGAGTATTGTCTGTAGGGCACAAGTGCGAGTGAATAGTGAGAATGTGACCAGTGGTAGGGGTATCGAGCGCAGTGAAAGACGACGTCAGAGGGTAGACCGATATGTCTGCCAATAACATCTACCCGCAATTACTTCAGTTACTCCGTGATCATGGCGCTTGCAACAGTGCCGAAATATCGGAGACTCATAAAAAAACAAGGTACATGGAAACACTCCCGTTAATAGCTATAATGTTAGTGACCATGAAAGTTTAAAACAGTATATTTTACCATCTTGTTTAACAGTACACACAGAAATTGTAGATTTTATCATAAGGGAGGAAAATAATATTTTTACGGCGAGGGATTCTTTAGTAGAATCTTGAAAGTAGCGAGGGTTTTAAAGTACGCCACCGGAGCCAAAAATATATATTGCGCCCGAGTGATGATACACTAACCACTATGAGAAAATAAAAGGCGCCTCTAACTACTAACTTAATTAAAATTAAATAGTCTAAAAATAAAACAACTAATTAACTTATATTTACATTTGAGACATTTTTGCACTTATGTTTTTTTTATTCAGCCGGCGTCGCGACTAAGGGCCGTCGTACCAGCCAGTCTTTTTTTTCCTAAATGGCTTCGCTCGGCTTGTGCATTTAGCCAATGTCAAGTGTTAAAATGTTTACAAATACCTACTATAGCACTCGAGTTCAAAGTAAGTGGTGTGGTGGCAGTCAAGTCAAACCCCTTTTCCCTATCTTTCAGTAAAAGTGTGGGGATTTACTGGTACCTCGCTGTGGACTTCTTGAGGGAACGTCGAAAGACACTTTCCGCTATTTTGTTTTACTTGCCAACACTTGTGCATGTTCCTAACACTTAGTGGTTAATAATCCAACATTATTAGACACTAACATTCGCCACAACACAATTTTTAACAAGAAAAACAATACTGCTAAAGTGACGCTTTCCGATCCCGCCATAAAGTCCCTAGCCAGTCTTTATTCAAACAATATTTGCATTCTTTTTCTTTGGACAAACACTAAGATGTTCCAAATTAAAAAATTGCGAGGCAAAGATAATGAGGGCTACTGTTTTCTGCCTCACCAGATGGCGCCACTGTTGAGTGAGGTCCTAAATTGTAACTTTTAAAGATTATTAATACGCACATGAAATCAAAGGTTACATTTAGATCGTATTTTAACACAAAGGAACCATATCCTAAACA